AACTCCCAGGTGTCTGGATGTGCATGGATGCAGAGCTTTTCCTGTTTGGAAAAAGGGGAAGAGCAGGGGGGAAGAATCATTTCCAGAGACTTGGACAGATATTGATAAAATGGGAGAGCTCTTATCAGGCAGTGAGGAAGCAGCTGAAGGGTATTTACCTTGACAGCTTTGCAGAGAGCTCCAGAAAACATCAGTACTTCCTTTGGGTTAGGGTGAAATAGCAAGATACCTTTTGACTATAGACTAATGAATATTTTTTAAAAACCAAATTAAAATCAGCCTTCCCCAAAGTGTTTACTTCAGTACTGTCTCTTATTAAATACTGGCTCAGCCTTCCCCAGCTGCACCTCTCATCATGATTTTAATTCTTTGGGCTGCTGGGCACATTCACAATAAATAGAAGTGATGGAAAATAGCTGCTCAAATTAGCCCTAAATCCCCCAGGTCTTCTCTCATGGCTCCTACTACAAAAAGCCAGCTAGGAATTGGTCCATTTTTAAAGGCTTAGTGCAGGTTTCCTGTGCAGTAGGACACATGCAATGCTTCTAGCATGGAAAATGACCCTGTATTTGTTGGGGTGATGTTCTGCAACCTGGTTATGAAACCTCCTGCACACTTGGATGGCTCTGTAGCCAGCCAGAATGCTTGCTCACTGCTGTGTATCTGTGGCCTTGCCCAACCTTGAGGGCAATCTGCTACTGTGGAGCCAGGAAGCCAGTTCTGTCTTTTAGAGCCAGTTAAACCAGCATGTATTTTTAATGATGATGCTGATGATTTTTTCCAGTGAATAATCCTGATTTCAAGGCTGGAGTGATGGCTTTAGCTAATCTGCTTCAGATTCAGAGACACGACGATTACTTGGTAATGCTTAAGGTGAGTTTCCCAGTTTTCACAGCCCCTTTCTTCCTTCTTTTCCCCAGTGCCTGGTATGCATGTAATAGCTTGTGGTGCAGAGTCACTAGTACTGATGATTTTTTAGGCAAAAAAAAGAGTAAAGCTCATCCTGTATATGCCTTTTCAAGCAGGTAAGAACACAGAATAGAAATCATGGAAATTAATGCAAAATGATGCAAAGGATGTTTAAAACAAACATCTTAGTGAGGAGCCATAAATAAATGCTTCGTTCTCCTCCTTTTGCTCCTGCTTACTCCTTGTCATTACTGAAGTCAGTTTAAATTAGTCTTGAAAACCAATCATGGCTTTTAAATGCAGTTCATTAATTTTCAAAAGCATCTTTTTTTGTGTGTGTGACTTTGATAAAATTTGTAATTTAATGGTGGAACTCAGTAGTTATCTGTAAATTTGGTGTTGAAGCTGTGCTGTCTCTTTCAAGTACTGTGTTTACTGAGACTGGAGCAATCCTCAGTTACCACTTGCTCTTGTCGTAGCATAGAAATAAGTTTAGTTCTGTTTTGCACCAAAATAAACTCTGAAATAAATATAAGGTCCATCTTTTACAAGTGCTGTGGTATTTGCTGAGTTTATTTTGGAGAAACTTAACTGAGTATTGAAGTTGATAGAGTGTTGGCCTGCAGTTACCCCAACAACCACTTCTTCATCCTCCCCAGTATGGTACCCTCCTTTGCCTTCCCATAATAGCTTTTGATCCCTTCATCAATCTTTAAAGAGTGGTGGAGAGCTCATATGTCCATCCCCTACCAAAAAAACCCAACCCTGAACTCCGCAAAAAACTGCGCAAAGGGGTATCAGGGAGTGAGGAGAGAATGACAGAATCACAGACTGGTTCAGGTTGGAAGGGACCTTAAAGCTCATCAGGTCCAACCTCCCTGCCATGAGCAGGGACACCTCCCACCAGACCAGGCTGCACAAGGCTCATCCAACCTGCCCTTCAACACTGCCAGGGAGGGGGCATCAACAACCTCCCTGGGCAACCTGTTCCAGTGCCTCACTGCCCTCATGGGGAAGAGTTTCTTCCTGATGTCTGACCTAAATCTCCCCTCTTGCAGTTTAAAACCATTACCCCTGCCCTCCCTGGTGAAAAGCCCCTTCCCAGCTTTCCTGTAGCCCCTTCAGATACTGGAGAACCTGTGAATGGTGATGTTGAGGATCTGCAGCATGAGCTCAGATACTCAGATTACCAGGCTGAGTTCCTTCAGGTCTTCCCACAGGATTGTCTCCAGGCTTGCATATGTTATGTGGGTCATGTAATTTGGTACTAAAAACTCCAAAGGAAAGCAGAATGTGTTTCCTGCATAAATGTAGGTACATTTCTGTCCCCATTTCCACATTTCTGGTCTCACTTTTTTCAGACACAAGTGGTTGGGCAAAAACCACCACCCTGAGCTGTCTGGCTTTTAAGAATAGGTTCCTGCAGTGACAGTTCATGTTACATGAGCAACAGCAACTCTTGGTTTTCAGGGTTTGGTGGTGGTAGGAAGTGTCAGTGGAACCTTTAGTTCTGCACCACATGAAGCAGGTTTGCAGTGTGCATGTGGAGGAGCTATGATCCCTATTTCAGGCTTGGAAACTCTGGAATGGCTGCTTAGGGAAGGCCAAAGGGTGCAAGCACATCACAGGCATCTGGCCAGAGTCAGCAGAGAGATACTTGGACTCCTGTTTTATTAATTAAAATCTGGCAAGTTGATCAGAAAGCATCTGTATAACCCAGTTGGATATCCTTTTTCTAATGCGAAAGGCACTCAAAATTCTTTCATGCAGGGTCTGGTTTCCCTGCTGGAATTTCAAATCCTCATCAGACACTTCTGTCCAGGCTGCTCCCTTCGGTTAGAAGGATTCCTGGTATCGCCTCAGCCTTCATCATGACCAAAACCGGGAGAAATCTTGGGAGAGAAACACGAAGCAGTAAAAGTGTTTTCTGTCACATTTGGCTGCTCCTCAGGGAATGTCTGAGGAATGTGTTTGACAGGCCCAGTTCTCCATGCTGGAAGTCTGCCTGCATGGTGTTCCTTCCGTTACTTTAGAGGCATTTACAGGCGTAGGTATCGGTTGCTGATGGCTCCGCTACGGTTTCACGCTGTCTGCTGGAGCCAGTAAAAACAGATGAGCAGCAGGATTGTGAACATCAAGACACTTCTTGTTCCTGTGTCTAAAAATATGTGCTTTCTGCTCTTGGTCTTTTTAAAAATCTGGGTGGGGAGCCTTGCTCCAGGGTTTGCTACGTGTTGGAAAATGGTTC